GAGGTGGAGGATCTGGTAGAGGTCGTGGAAGAGGAAGAGGAGGTTCTAGTGGAAGAGGTCGTGGTAACTTCAACCAAGGAGGAGGACGTGGTAACTCCAACCAAGGAAGAGGTGGAGGTAATACCAAACAAGGTAAATTTCCATTTCATTGCTACAATTGTGGCAAGTATGGGCACAAGATTGCAAATTGTTGGTATAATGAGGACAACAATCGTGGAAATCAAGCAAACATTGCTGAAAAGTCTGGTGAGAGTTCTGAAACTTTACTTTTGGCCAGCGATAGTTTTTCTGCAGATAAGAACATATGGTTCTTGGATACTGGGTGTAGTAACCATATGTGTGGGAAGAAAGAATTGTTTTCCGAACTAGATGAATCAGTCCGGTCTGAAGTAACGTTTGGCAATAAGTCAAAGGTGCCAATTTTGGGAAAAGGTAAAATCTCTATTCAGTTGAAGGATGGTACTCACAATTTTATATCCGATGTGTTCTATGTTCCTGAACTGCACCAAAATTTGTTGAGTATGGGTCAGTTGTCAGAAAAAGGATATAAGATACATATTGCTCAGGGGTGTTGTACCATTGCAGATGCTAAAGGAGTTTTGATTGCAAAGGTAAATATGTCCCAAAATCGACTATTTCCTTTGAAAATTAAGCATACTCTCCTTGCTTGCTTTAATTCTGAAGTTTGTGATGATAATTGGTTATGGCATATGCGGTTTGGGCATTTTCATTTTTCTGGGTTAAACTATCTTGCGAGAAAGGAACTTGTTTCTGATTTACCTGTTGTGAATGTCCCTAATCGTATCTGTGAGATTTGTGTGATTGGGAAGAAGCATAGAGATCCCTTTCCCGTGGGCAAGTCAAGGAGAGCCACAAAACAGTTGGAGATTGTTCACTTAGACCTGTGTTCGTTGGAGGTTCCCTCATATGGAGGTTGTAAGTACTTTATTACTTTCATTGATGATTTCAGTAGGAAAACATGGGTTTACTTTCTGAAGCAAAAGTCTGAAGCATGTGATGTTTTCAAACAATTTAAGGCTTTTGTTGAAAAGCAAAGTGGTTATGAAGTTAAAATCTTGAGAACTGATAGAGGTACAGAATATATTGCTTGTGATAATTTTCTGAAAGAAAAGGGTATTCAGCACCAAATGACAGCTAGATACACTCCACAACAAAACGGAGTGGCTGAGAGGAAGAATAGGTCAATCATGGATATGGTGAGGTGCATGTTGAAATCTAAGGATCTGCCTAAGCCTTTTTGGGCAGAAGCTGTTGCTTGTGCTGTCTAGGTGTTGAATAGGTGTCAAACTAAGAGTGTCCGTGATAAAACGCCCGAAGAAGCTTGGAGTGGGAGAAAACCCTCTATCAAATATCTCAAGGTTTTTGGATGTTTGGCATATGCCCACGTGCCGAATCCATTGAGAAAGAAGTTGGATGATAAAGGTGAGAAGTGCATATTCATTAGTTATAGTGACGCTTCAAAGGCTTATAAACTATACAATCCTGAAACAAAAAAGGTTGTTATAAGTCGTGATGTCACTTTTGATGAATATGGTGCCTGGGATTGGTTAGCTAAAGATGAAAGTTCAGTTGTTATTCCTGCTGTTGAAAATATTGTTGAAGAGCAACCGATTCCAGATAATGTCCAGTCTCCTTCACAGCCAGAGTCGTCAGTTCGACGATCTCAGCGCGAGCGCCACTTACCAGCTCGCTTGCAAGATTATGTTTTGGGTCATGATAATGACCTGTCTGATGAAGAAATTGTTCAATTTGCTCTCTTTGCAGATTGTGATCCTTTAACTTTTGAGGAGGCTGCTACAGAAACTCATTGGCGTAAGGCGATGGATGAGGAGATCCGTGCCATTGAAAAGAATGGTACCTGGGAGTTAACAGATTTACCTCCTGGAAAGAAGCCAATTGGAGTGAAGTGGGTTTACAGAACGAAGTACAAGTCAAATGGAGAAATTGACCGTTTTAAGGCACGGTTAGTAGCAAAGGGTTACAAGCAGAAACCAGGTATTGATTATTTTGAGGTTTTTGCTCCTGTAAGTAGACTTGATACAGTTCGAATGGTTATTTCTCTTGCTGCTCAAAATGATTGGAAATTGCATCAAATGGATGTCAAGTCTGCTTTTTTGAATGGTTTTCTTGAAGAAGAAATATATGTTGAGCAACCTGCAGGATTTCTGAAGAAAGGGGAGGAAAATAAAGTGTACAGGTTGAGAAAAGCCTTGTATGGCTTAAAGCAAGCGCCTAGGGCGTGGTATGGTTGCATTGACTCATATTTTGTTGAAAGTGGTTTTGTGAGATGTCCTCATGAACACACTTTGTATGTCAAATGCACGGATTCTGGTAATATTGTTTTAATCTGTCTGTATGTTGATGATCTGGTTTTTACTGGAAACAACTTGAAGCTAATCTCAGAATTCAGGGAGGCACTCATTAAGAGGTTTGAAATGACCGATATGGGCCTTATGTCTTACTTTCTTGGCCTTGAGGTTATTCAGATGGATGGTGGAATCTTTATTTCACAGAAGAAGTATGCTGCTGATATTTTGAAAAAGTTCAAAATGGAAAACTCCAAACCAGTTTCGACTCCGTTAGCTGAAAAGTTAAAGGTGTCCAAAGATGAGTGTGGTAAGAATGTGAACGTTACATCTTATAAAAGCTTAATTGGGAGTTTGAGGTATCTGGTGGCAACAAGGCCAGATATTTCTTTTGGAGTTGGAATTCTTAGCAGATTCATGGAGGGACCAAAAGAATCACATTGGGCTGCAGCAAAGCGAATTCTGAGATATGTCAAAGGTACAAGTAATGATGGAATTTTTTACTCTACTAATGAAACTGTGGAACTTGTTGGGTACACAGACAGTGATTGGGCTGGAGATGTTGAGAAGCACGTCAGGGTATGCCTTCTATCTGTCCAAAGATGAGTGTGGTAAGAATGTGAACGTTACATCTTATAAAAGCTTAATTGGGAGTTTGAGGTATCTGGTGGCAACAAGGCCAGATATTTCTTTTGGAGTTGGAATTCTTAGCAGATTCATGGAGGGACCAAAAGAATCACATTGAGCTGCAGCAAAGCGAATTCTGAGATATGTCAAAGGTACAAGTAATGATGGAATTTTTTACTCTACTAATGAAACTGTGGAACTTGTTGGGTACACAGACAGTGATTGGGCTGGAGATGTTGAGACTAGAAGAAGCACGTCAGGGTATGCCTTCTATCTTGGTTCGGCCATATTTTCTTGGTCTTCAAAGAAGCAACAGATTGTAGCACTTTCAACCGCAGAAGCAGAATATATTGCAGCAGCAAACTGTGCTACTCAAGCAGTTTGGCTGAGGAGAATTTTGGAATTTCTACAACACAACCAAGAAGCACCTACAACTATTTTTTGTGACAACAAATCAGCAATATCGTTGTCCAAAAATCCAGTCTTTCATGGTCGCAGCAAACACATTGATATCAAGTATCACAAAATCAGAGAGTTGGTTGCTGAAAAGCAAATCAACATTGAGTATTGTTCAAGTGAATGTCAAGTTGCAGATATCTTTACGAAGCCGCTGAAGACAGAGACATTTCTCAAATTGAAGAAGGAAATTGGAATGACCAATATATCCAACTTGGTTTAAAGGAGGCAATGTTATAATAATATTATTATTATAATTATTAAACCAAGCAAGTAATTAATAATTAGTTAATTTGTTGGAAATAATGAAAGTAATGGGTGAGGGTCATGCATTGTATGTGAAGAGTGGCCTAAATTATAGCATTAGTACATGGAGCATTAGCTTCCTGATTAGTAGCTTTCATTTAGTATAAATATGTGGTTTGTATTCATTTGTTAATCATCCCTTCAAATAACATTATTCATTCCTCTCTCTTCTCTCTCAATATATAAATATAATATATTGATATATTATATTTAATATATATTATAGATATATTATATTATATTTAATATACATTATATTAAATATATTATATTTAATATATCTAACAAGTTTTAAGGTACCAACATAATACAATATTTCGTTATAAAAATACACGAAACGAGCTCATCACTCTTTATTCAATGATCAAAAGAGCCAAACAAGGCATATTATTTCATATTATTCTCTGTACCGTATGCACTACACAGTACAGTATTGGTATATATAGAACTATAATTAACAGGAGGGGATAGAGACGCCGCAAGAGCTAGCGACCTTTCTAGCATTCGGAGAGTTGACGTAGTGCGCCACTCTCGGATCTCTCGCGTAACCGCACAGGCACCCCGTCTGCTGCCTCAGCTTGCCGCAACACGCCGCCGACGGCGACTGGCCGGAGTTGATCGCGGCGGCGCAAGGGCGCAGCTCCGTCGCGGAGCACTGAGCGGCCTCCGTCGCGCGCAGTTGCCCGATCAGCATCGCCGTCACGATCAAGTAGAGCGATAGGAAAGACTTTTCCCCCTTCTTCAGCATTTTATTATGTTTTAGTTTTTTCCGAAATCTAAAAGCTAGACAGATGATTGTTGTGTTGTGTTTTTGTAGAATGAAATGTGTTTTGTGCGAAGTGAAATTTATAGGAGGACGGAGAGATTACCAGGTTCGGTCGATCGGTGGATTCACGAAGCAAAGTGGTTAGGAGAAACGAAATTTGCTAAAAATGGCAAGTGCCAAAATGGGATACTGATTGGCAGTAGTAGTTAGTGGTTGGTCATGGATGGGTCAACAGTCTGAACCCACGTAATACAATTAAACATAGTTAGTTTATCAGTTAATTTTAACTTATTTTATCACTATTAACTATTTGACTTAGTTAAATAATCAATATATTTAGTTAAATAGTTTTAAGAAAAGAAATTATACCAAACAGTTATCAGCTATCAGTTATCAATGAACAGCTAATTTACCAAATATTTTTTTACAATCAGTTAATGTTATCAACTATTTATACCCTCTAATTAACACAATCAGCTAACAGCTAACACACATTTTACCAAACACAACCTTTATTTTGAACATGATTTCTACCGGGAACTGGATAATGCTGAGTAACCATTAAAAGGGCACGTGGCTCTTGGCAACAAAAGACAGCACATAGACTCTAAAGAAGCTAACTTTGCTACGGATTCTACAACCTATACTATTCTCTAGAAACTTGAACAACAACTAACACCGTTGCACTAGCTAATGGTAAAATCTTTGCATACTTTGGCTGCAAACTAATCTCAATTATGGCTTTAATTAATTCTTGATTATCCTGTGTGCAGAAGATGAGAGCAGAATGAGGGAAGTCCAGGTTGAGCAGCAGAGTGTGAGGTTTGATGGAGTTACAGTGACAAGGTCACACATCATTGACTGGCTCATCTTATTGCTACTTCTGGTGATTTTAGTTGTTCTCAATGTTATTCATCCCTTTTACCGTTTTGTTGGGAGGGATATGGTGGGTGATTTCAAGTACCCATTAAAGAACAACACTGTTCCTATCTGGGCTGTGCCTGTGAGTATTACACACATATATATATTTTACTGCCTCTCTGCTTCCAGTTTATGGCACTGATGAAAAAAGCTTTTGGTTTTGGGTATAGATTTATGCAGTTTTGCTGCCTATATTCATCTTTCTGCTGTTTTATTGTTACCGAAAAGATGTCTACGATCTTCACCATGCTATACTAGGTAATGAAAACATGAAATCTAGTTCAATTCGTGTGTGCAAAACAAAACTTATTATTGTCTCAGTTTTTAAGGTTCTGTTGCAGGGGTGTTGTTCTCTGTTCTGGTGACTGGAGTGATTACGGATGCCGTAAAAGACGCGGTTGGTCGGCCCAGGCCGGACTTCTTTTGGCGTTGCTTTCCAGATGGGAATGATGTAAGTTTCCGGCAATCCATCATCATCTATCTTATTCTTGCATTTCCATATGTGATGCTTTGCCTTTAATTCCTAGGTTTATGATCGATGGGGAAACGTTGTATGCCATGGTGACGAGAATGTTGTCAGGGAAGGCCACAAGAGTTTTCCTAGCGCCCACACTTCCTGTAAGTTCTTTTCTTTCTTTTAATGTCAGAAACCATAGTCACTATCTGAAGCTGTGCACGGGTTAAATTTCGTCTTGTAATCCTAGCAGGACCACAAGGAAGTAAATCAGTTTAGATTGTTTATAACTGATTGGTTTAAACTAAGAAAGTCAATAAGTTGCTTTACTGGGAGCAATCGAATTTATAATGCATGCAGGGTCTTTTGCTGGTCTTGGGTTTCTGTCACTGTATTTAGCAGGGAAGATAAGCGCATTTGAGCGTAAGGGTCATGTCGCAAAACTTTGTGTAGTATGGCTTCCTCTTCTGCTTGCATCTCTGGTTGGGATTTCTCGGGTTGATGACTACTGGCACCACTGGCAAGATGTGTTTGCTGGAGGTTTACTCGGTTAGTACACTCTATAAGAATAAGACAGAACACATCTTTCAACTTGATCTGTACGGTTAATCTTTGCATGCAGGTTTCGTAGTTGCCACATTTTGCTATTTGCAGTTCTTCCCGCCCCCATATCACGTTCAAGGTGTGTTAATTGGTTGGTTCTTCAACATTTTGGATCTTCATAGTATGATAATGTTTTATGAAACGGATATTTATAATTGGGAGGTTTGCTAGGTTGGGCAACTTATGCGAGATTTGGGGTGCGGGATGAGGACTCCCGTGGGACGAATACTACTACTGTGGCTAATGTTGCAGTAAGCTCAGACAATAATAATAATGGTGTTGATGAGAATGAGCAGCAGAATGGTGCATTCATTGGGATGTGTTTGTCTACTAATTTTGCAGCCACAACAGTGGATGATGATGATGATATGGAGTCTGGCAGGCGGCGCTAGTATAGTTTTCACAATTTGTTTCTGTGCCAATCTTTGGTTTGTAGAGGGGTATGTATGGTGGGCTTAGAAGAGTTTGTGCATATGATAATATAATGTTACTTTTTTAGTTTCATAAATACTTATGCATGGTAGAATGACGAAAAATTCGCGATCACTATTTGAAAATGTGTATTAAGATATTATTTTATTATTTTAGTCAAGACTATAAAGGGGTAATCAATCTCTCACTTACCAAGTTAACAAGATGATTAACTTGACTCTGATTGTTTTCGTTTTAAAGTACTTTTAACTCATGAGAAAGCTACGTCAACAAAAAAGTTGGTTTAAAAATCTTTAAAAGAGGAAAGCCATTTTATTAGTTTAGTTGACGCTTACATGAGACCCAACACAAATAAGATTCATACTTATATCTAGGGGTGTTAGCGACAAGAGCTTTCGACAAACTACTCGTGTTTGTGTTCGGTAAGCGTTCGTTTATGTTCGTTTGTTAAGGTAAACGAACATTAACAAACAAAATTTAGAGCTCGGTTAATAAACGAACAGAGCTTGAACAGTTGTAAGCTCGTTTGCTAAGAGATCGTGAACAAACTCGTTTGTGTTCGTTTACTAATGTTCGTGAACAAGTTCGTTTAATAATGTTTGTGAACAAGCTCGTTTGTGTTTGTTTAATAATGTTCGCGAACATGTTCACAAACATATATACCATATTATATTATATTAGTTTTGTAGTTGTGTTGTTTGTTTGATTATTGTTCATGAACGTAGATTATTTATTGTTCATGAATGAATTGTGATCATGAACATGTGCATGTGTTTGTTTATTAAGTGTTCATGAACGTAACTGAATATGTTCGTGAACGTGCTTGTTAATGAACATGTTTGTGAACGTGTTTGTTAACGTTAATGAACACGTTTGCGAACGTGTTCACGAACGTTAACAAACATGTTCGCGAACGTTAACGAACACTTAACAAACGAACACGAACAGGATTTTAAAAAACCTTAACAAACGAATACGAACACGAACACTCCAAATTACTTAACAAACGAACACGTATAACCTCCGTTCGTTTATGTTCGGTTCGTTAACAGCCCTACTTATGTCGTGGATTAATCCACTTTGCAAAGTAAATTATGATCCAAAAAATTTACTTCCTTAATTATTTTATAATGTTTAAAAAATATGTTATTAAAAAGTTTTAATTAAGATTTTTTAAATGATACTTATATTGATTTTTAAAATATTTTTAAAATAAATCTACAAGCAGATAAAGTTATTATTTTAGATACACAAATTTATATCTACAAATATACAAATTTAATAAGAGCCAATAAAGTTAGACTCTTCAAGGATACTACAAAATGTTGGTATAATTGTTTGTTGTAATTAATGATTTATATTATTTTGATCTTAGTATTTTTTTTCCTACTTTTTAATATTTTTTTAATTTTTCCTATTTTCTATCTATTATATCAATTACTTTTTCTTAAATACCCTTGCATTCCCGTAAACTTTAGTAACGGAGTATTTCGTTAACTATTTATTATTATTAACCTACTCATTGATTTTCATAAGGAAGATCTTAAGTTCGAATCTCATCGTAATTAAAATTGATATCATTATTAAAAATATACTAGGAATATGTTAGAGTGTATTAAAAAATACAATATAAAATACGCACCAAAAAAAAATACAATATAAAATTTAACATGGGCTTTAATTTGGTCAATTAATTAGAATTATGCATTGGGCATGGATAAAACGGTACACCTGATTTACAGTGTATATTCAATACAAATGAGAAACTATGTTTATTATCATTCTCTTTTTGGAGGAGGAGGATTTTGGTTCTATTTTTGAAGGATAGTTATGCTATGGAACCGTGTTCACCAGGTCCATAATTTCTAAGCTGTAGATTCATAATTTATATACTGTAGATTCATAACATCTATACTGTAGATTCATAATTTCTATACTGTAGATTCATAATTTCTGTACTGTAGATTCATAATATTTGTACTGCGAAGACGAAATAATGCAATTGCGAAGAGAGAAACGTCGTTAACAACAAATGAAAAACAAAATTAGGAATCTACAGCATAGAAATTATGAATCTACAACATAGAAATTATGAATCTACCCCTGTGTTCACCATGCGCATGGTGAACACGTTTCCACGGCATAATTTGCGGTTTTTGAAGGTGCACTGCGCCAATGCACTAAAATTGCAATGAAGCACGCCAGGGACTAAATCAAATCTATAATTCATTTATGCTGGAAGTGGCAACAATATTAAGCATAGATCACCCCAATTAATAGGGTTTTGTGTTGCAAAAGCTATATATGCTTGGGTACTATCCACTGAGGGTGCTTCCCTATACAACTATTATTGCACTAGTTAATTCAACATTCTTGCTACAGGTCTAGTTATGCATTCATGAAATTAAATATTTACTTTTATAAAAAATTGGATAATATTGCAGTGTGATAAATTCTAAAACACTAATTTAAAAATACACATTGTGCATTAGACCTATTCGCACAATACGCGTGTGGTAACTTGTTTGAATATAAAATTAGGTACAACATAAATTCACCACATCAGGGACAATGGTACATAAATTCATTATTATAAATACACAGATTCATTATTGTTGGTGTCATTTCTACACAACTACAGTATTATTTTTAAGTACTTCCTTTTTCATGTACCTACAATATTATTTTTATGTACTTTAAGTCTATGATATATAATTTGTGAATAGGATATTATTGTTATTTTATTTATAAGTAGGTCCAAGATGAAGAAAAATGTGGACGTCGGCCAGGAGGAAACGTGGTTCTTAGGGAAAGAACAAGCGGGACCCTGGAGTTAGTTAAAGTTGTGACAGGGAAGCAACTTATTAGAATGTAGCATTATAGATCACCAATAGCATGATGACAAACTTAACATAAATCCATTCCCTCAAATCCCAATTTTCATCATCATTACTCCTCACTTAACCACATGCATTCTTCACTTCCAAACCTTCACCCTACCTTATCATCCTTGTATCCCACGCCACTTTTTTAAAACCTCACCTGCAACCTAGCTTCCCATTTCCACCTCACAAATACACTATAGACTGCGTCGCGACTTAGAAGGCCTAGTCCAGTATCTTATCATCAAAACGCAGTAACATTTATTGTTATGCAAGTATAAGGAAATAAAATTACGTGAAAACAACTCCAACGAAGTTGGTCGAATAGTTGATTTGGTAACTATAGGATTCCCAGTTTGAATCATCAACAAGCTATTTATTGGTGTTCTTAGTTTAAGTTGGTCAGTTATGTGCAATCTAGACTGATTTATTAACTTGTGGTCCTTTACCAGCTTGTGTCACAAGGTGGACTTCACCCAAAGCGCACATTCTGGTAGCAGATTGCATATTTGCTATTAGTTTTTAACTTTAACCTAATGGTAAGCGTTTGACTTGCGGTATCATCTCAAAAGTAACACATTACCAATTCAATTTTAACTCTTCTAAAATGTATCAAGAAAAAAAGCACATTATAAAGGAGGCCAAAAAAAAAAAAAAAAGGCAATATGCATACTATGCGTGTATAATACTCCGTATATTGTACATGCAGATGACTAGATGAGTGTAACCCACGATTATATAGTAGAGTTTGTTAGGCGTTTCTCATAACGGTTTTTGGATCCCAAACCCGAAAATTGAAAACCGGAAAGCAAGTTTCCCCGCCAAAATAAATTTTTCAAACACTTGAGACGTAAGCAAGTCTTCCGATCCCCACCGCACTCATCATATCATTTCTCAGGAATTCTATAAGAAGGTGATTGGATGTGTTTGCCGTAGACTCTGATTTGATCGTGTGGTTTTGGCAATTCAACCATCTTATCTTAATATTCCTCTCCTTTTAGTTCACGCAGGAGAGAATTTGAAGGAACTTCATCACGAAACTGAGTTTGCAGGTACATTATTATGAATTCTCAGCTCAGATCCTTTATTGATAACCGTGTGTTTATCAGATTCCAGTTTGATGAGTTTTTTTTTTTTTTCGATTGAATTCATCGTTAATGTTTGCTTGCTTGCTTGCTGCTTCAGTTTTGGTTGATTTTACTGTTGCGTATAGTATAATCGATTGCATTGAGTTTCTGTTCTGATCTCCTGTGTTTACATGCGTGTTTACGTTTGGTGAATGTGTAGCGATGCTGATCTGCTTGATTTTAAGGCTACTGATTATCTGATTTTACTTTGATATTGATGTTTGTTCAAGTTTAGAATTCCTTGCTTGCTTCGTATTGACGATAATTTTCGGATTTTCATTGATTAATTAGCTTCTTCAAATAGTTGGAAATGCTGAAAGAGAGTTCTTCATTTGATGGCGTTAGAGCCAGCTCGATCTCAAGGTCCGCTGTTGGCCCCAACAACTTCTCCGGCGGATCCTCATCACCGCACTACAATTGCAACCCGTTTCTATCACCCTCATCTCCGCGACAGCTCGATTTAACTGACTATTCTACAAACTATTACTCCTCGCTCTTCGTTCACAACTGTAAATCTCCATCCGATACCTCATTCGACGACGCAGAAGCCATGGCCACTGAACGCCGACTTTTTCACGCCAGTTTCGTCCTGGAGTACCAGCAGCTCTACAATCGGTACACTCTGTGTCTCGCTCACCTTCAGGAGTCCCTCAAGGAAGTCAATGCTCTTCGCCAGGAGAACGAGTCTATCCGTCTCGCAAACGCCGACTTGGTCCAGCGCCTGAGTCTCCTCTCTCAGGCGACGATACAGAACTGTCTTCTCTCTGATTTCAGTCACCTCGGTATCGGAGTCCGAGCCTCCCCTATCCGCGACACTCTCACCACGGAATCAAAACCTCCGAACGTCAGGCCACCGCCGGGAGCCATAGAGCAACACCGGCTGGAAAGAAGGAATCAAGAGCAAGTCCCGATTCCAAAGAGCATTTCCGTGCGCTCCAGTGGCTACCTGAAGATGAAAGCACAAGATGGATCCGCTGGCGGCCAGAGTAGCCACCGACTCAATACTCAACCTCTTGGCCGATC